TATATATAAAAAAAAAGTGGAGATAAAAAAAGAGATATATACATATATATATATATATATATATATATATATACACACACATATACATATACATACACACACAGACCTTTTCATTGTGGTTTTATTTAATATTAAAGTTCATTAAAATAGTTACTTTAAATGGTTGGAAATACAGCATATTCATTGTGTCAGAGAAATAGGGATATTTTAGCATTACATGTTAAAATTAAATTGCCACTTTCTCAGCTTACAAGTCAATGTGAAGTAAGGGTGTACAATAGTCCATAAATGTGTACAAAGCACTCAATCGCACATGGGTACATAAAGTACCCACTATCTCCATCTGTACTTCTGTGGTTTCCCTATGAAACATTGCTTATTTGAACTGGCTACTATCTAAACCATGCCTCTGTCAGTGTATTTGTTTGTGATTTGTGAGTTCAAATGTACTGTCTTCAGAATAGACTAGTAAAAAGGGCTGTGGCTGATTTACTAAGTATGTTTGTATTTTAGTTGCTTTCATGCTTATAGTTTTGTCTTTCTCTTTGTCACTTTTCCAACCTAGAGGTCTTGGAGTAGTCATATTTCTTATATGATGACTGGCTTTCCCTAGAGCAAAAATTCTCCAGAGAACTAGCAACAAGCTGCAAGGTGTTTTATGGCCTAGCCTCATAGTTCTTATAACATGACATCTAATGTATCTTCTTGGTGGACACAGATTCTAGGGGAGGGAGTGCAGACTTAACCTTTTGATGGGAGAGGAATCAAAGATCTCAGAATTTTAAAATATGCTACATCCCTAAAAAGGTTGATTAAAATAGGCCCCGCATAGGGAGTAACATGCCACTCTGTAACTACATGGTTGATTGGGATGTGGATCCTGGGTTAACCTGAAACATGTTCGTTGCACAAGAACCCAAGAGCCCGGATGGCAAGAAGGCTGGAGGCGAGCTCCTGTCACAGGTGCTTGTCCTCTCTTGTACTCTTACTTGCTCTCTTCCCTTCATGAAATAAATAGAATAACAAACTTTAAAAAAACAGAGAGAGAGAAAGGTACGTAATATCAGTAACAAGAATGCTAACATCTTATTTATGATATCTGATTCTGCATGAAATGTAGTAATAGGGTATTAAGAATAACATTATGCCAATGAGTTTGAAAAATATTTGTAACATCAACAAATCACACAGAAAAATACAACTGACAAAGTCCGAAAACTTTGACCAAAAAATGAAAAAGAAAATGGAGTCATAGTTACTTGTCTAGTAAATTGAATCCATAGTTTAAAGCCTTCTGTTTTTTTTTTTTGTTTGTTTTGTTTTTTTTTTTTGGCTATAGGGCGCATGCATTTGCCAGACAGACAGAGAGAGACAGAGAGACAGAAAGCGAGAAATCACTACCCAGGGGGGATGGCCACCCACAATCCCTTCCCCTCCATTCTCCTCTCGGGATCTTGGGCATGCACGCACATGCACCCGGTGTGAGTTTTAAGCCACCTGGTCCGGGATGTGAACCATGGTCGACTACATGGGAAGTCCAGCAATATAGCCATTACAATAACTGCTGGTCCCATTTAAAGCCTTCTTAAAAAGGTTTTTTGAGGACAGTGCCAACTGATTAACTTTCTTTACCCTTTTAAAAAAAAATACAAGTGGAAATAAAACCACATATCACTCGTCTTTTTAGCATGACTAGGAGACAAAGAATACCATAGCCATTCAATGGCCTTAGTAGAGAAATAAATCCCATAAAGATTCTTTTCACCCTCTCAATTTGTAATCCTGTTGGTGCAAAGAGTGGAGAGAGAAGTCTGAAGAATAGAGAGGCGTGAACAATTTAGAAGCAGCACAAACAGAATCATTCCCATAAACAAGAAGTCTAAAACTAGATGTCAAAACACTAAGGATAGGCTGGAACATATTATTTCATAGCACATGATACAGAGAAATGACTTGAAAGAGAGTAGAACCAAAGGTGGCAGCCTCAGAGAAGCATCGTTTCTGAGGGAGAATCAGATGCATTAGAGAATTAGAAATGTGGCAGTGAAAGAAAACAAGGAAATAAAAGAAATTAAGGGTACTATAAGAAAAAAAAGAGAGAGAGAGAGAGAGCCAGAAACAACCTCCCCTTACCCCATCTGCCAGATAAACGCATTAAAACAAAAAAACAAACAAACAAAAAACATAAATTTTTATTTTTAAAAAAGAGATATGGTCTCATCGTGTTGCCCAGACTGGCCTTGAAATTCTAATCCTTCTACTTTAGCCTCCCAAGTAGATGAGATTACAGACATGTACCACCATACCTGGTATATTACAGAATTTCCTATCTGTAAAGGCAATCTTCAGTATTTAGAAGCATTGGAAAAATACATGAACTGTAACGCAACCCTCTAATCTGAATTAGAGATCATCAAGCGAGCATTTGGGGATACAAAAAGACCTCTAAACACCTTGAAATAGAAATAGAAAAACAAAAATGATCAAGAAAATAAGATAAGGGACTGGCAGGTAGCATGGTGGTTAAGGTGCTGGATGCCCACATGGCTAACTGTGGTTTGAGTTCTGGACCTGGCAGCTTGCTTTCTCTCTTTCTCTCTCTCACTCTTGCTCTCTCTGGTCAAATTAAAAAAAAAGTAAATGATGAATAAAATTAAATAAAATTATTTTTAAAATAAGACAAATGTAATCTGGGATATGGGAGTCAATTAAATTTAAGGGCAAAAAAAAAAATACAAAAAACAAAGATTTACTCTTCAAAGTGAAGAATAAATCTCGAGATGCCCAAGAGGAAGTAAAGTAAAATGAAAATTAGTAAAGAGCTTTGCAGGAAAACAAAGAGCATGAAATGAGAAGAAAGAAGAAAAAATTGACAGAGGGAAAGAAATTGAAATGGAAGACAGAGGTCTAACATATGTATGAGGGAAATTTCTAAAGAAGACTCAGACAAAAGCAATCAAAACAATGTAAGTTAAATATTATGAAGATAGTACTTAAAATATATGGGGCCGGCAGGTGACATGTGGTTAAGGGCACTGGACTCCCACATGGCTGACTGCAGTTTGAGTCCCAGATCTGGCGGCTTGGTTTCTCACTTTCTCCCTCTCTCTCTCTTTCTCTCTCACTCTCACTCTGTCCTTTGGTCAAATTAAAATGAATAAATAAATAAAGTTAAATAAAAAATAATTCTTAAAAAAAATACATAATAGAATTGGGCCAGCTGGTGGTAGTTAAGGCAGTGAATCCTACATGGCGAATTGCATGATTCAAATACTATACCTGGGTGACTTGAAAACCACACCAGGTAGATATGCATAGATGTTCATCCATGCATGCTCAAAATCTGAAAGGAGCCGCCTCTCTCCCTTGACTTCAGGTGGATGGCTATCCTCTACAAGTCCTCACTACTTTCATTAGAAAACTTTGTATTTACTATATAGGACTGGGCTGCATAGTTTCCAAGAAAGTACATTAGTCTAGCACTCATCTGCTAAAATTAAAAATTTAAATAAGCATATGAAGCATCAATACATTTTGAATGCAAGTAAAGTGATCTTATTACCAAATAATGCCAAAAGGTCAATGCAAACTTAATATAACAAGATATCTATAGCTTACATTCTCCAGATAGGTATCAGTTTGACTCAAATTTAAAGAAAGAATATTTATGCCCTATTCTAAAATTAACTGCGGAGCCAAGTATGTTTAGCAGGATCCAGGAAGCATTAAGTTTTCTCATTTAATGTCGTATGTGCTTTTATGTGTGTGCACGCATGCTCACACATTTCTGTCTCTAAAGGAAGAGACAAAGACAAGCAACCTCATTAGGGTCTCACACTGTAACCCTTAGCTTTCCCCGCCAGCCGGGATCATGTCATGAAACATTCTGAGTGTGTAGGTTGACTTGGAACAAAACCTGATCATCCATATGACTTCTAGCATTGCAGAGCATTGTGTAACAGCTGCGCCACTCTGGCCAGGCCACAAATGTGCTGTTTTAATATGCTTCACTGGTCCACATCAGTTTCATTAGTTGATATGGTACTCTTTAATTCTTCTTGTTTCTTGTTTGCAGTTTGTACAGGAAATTTTCTCATCTAAATTGTCAAACCAAAATGCCCATCTAAGATATCAAAGTAGAGTCTGTAGTGACATCTTTTCTTTCATTTCTCACTGGTCTTGCATTGATCTGACTGGAGCTTTTTAAATTTT